TAAATTTAAATTACATCATTTTATTTAATTAAAAATTTATCTTATTAAATATTGATATTTAGATTTAAAATTTAATTAAATTTTTGAATTTTAAATTAAAATTTTAAATTTTAAATATATGTTGAAACTTTAATTTTTTTTTAGAGTGGGGATTGATACATAATAATCTTATATATAAAATAGTTTTATTAAATGTATTTTAGTAATTTTAGTGTTTATACACTATGAAAATCACATTTTTTGTAACCTTGTATTTTCTTTTTACAATAAATTTCCCCCGTTAGTTACATTGCCTTATATAGGTAGATGTGTTTGTATTGCTAGGTCTAGATTTTATGATTTACTAAATTTGCTTTTCTGAAAATTTATAAGTTTGGCATTGTGACAGTACTATAATATGATTTAATTGTCGTAGTAGATGTTAAAGAGGTAGTAACAATTTGAGAATTATAATTTATAATTCAAATTGTATCAAATTATAAAATATAAATTATTAGATAATGAGAAGGCCTTCAATATAAATTATTAGTTAGTTAATAGTTAGTATTATGTAATTTAGTATAATTTAAATTGCATAATATTTTTTCTCAATAATATTAAAGGAGGCACATTATTTTTCTTAGTCCTTGATATTGGAGAGTTAATTAGGCCAATGAAAGGGCACCTATGACTAGTGTAAATAAAATCAAACACGTATGAAAATACATATCTACTAGATTTATAGACCTTCACATATACTATCATTCACCTCACTGTCTTTAATGAAAGATTTTTGCACTTCACTCAATTGACTCTACACATACCCACCATGCAAACCTACTACCAACACTTGATGCTTACAAGCCAAATTTAGCCAATTGGAACCTTGAATTCCAAATTCAACATGTATAAGTCCATGGAATATTATTTATATACCCAATTCACAGTATGTTCCTTCGGTCTTATTGCCCTTGTGCCGCAAGAGTATGGTTCCTTTCGCAACTAGGATACCAATCAGGTTGCGTTTCAAGGAAATGCTTCCTTGCCGCATAATTGTTGATAAAAAGCTCAGTGTATGGTCCAAGAATTTCTGACAGTTCATTGTAAGGATCCAATCCAATGGTCCCCTCTTGTTCACAAGTTCTGTAGTTCGTTGGCAATCTAGAGGTAGGTTGAGTTCAGATTGAAAACAACACTCCACATATATTATCGAGTGTACTTTTTTTAAAAAAAAATTTATATTATATAATACGATGTAATATTTTTTATTTTTTTATTTATTTTATTTATATATTATTTTAATCTAAATTTAAATTTTATCATTTTTATTAAGAAATTATTATTAAATTATTTAAATATGATATTATCAAATATATTTAGTAATGCTCTAAAAATATATATAGGTTTTAGAATATAAATTAATTAAAAGTGAATTTATTATATTTTTATGTATTAAAAAATAAAAACTAATATTAATTTTATTGGGTGTCCAATTAAAAACAAACATCCACATGTTGGTGTTGGTGTTAGTATGGTTTTTTTTTTAAGGATTTAAAATTTATACCTTAAGAATAAATGTTAAAAATATATTTTAGTATTAATTGTTATTGAAAAATAAAAATTAATATTTATTTAATCAATTATTTAATTAAAATAATTCACATAACATAAATAATAAAATTAATATCAATTTTTATAATTTTTAATATTAATTAATATAAAAAATATATTAATCATACCCTTAATCCATATTCTAAAACACACAAATTAAAAAAAAAATGTAAAAGATGTTTTTAGCACTAGATAATTTTTCTTCCCACCTGCCAATCATTGGCCACAGATGACAGAACCATAACCAATTCCTACCACAACCACCAAACCAACATTCAAGTGCCTAATTGAGTGATCTTGTTCCACGTGATGGAATCATAATCAATGTTAATGACTTAAAAGATTTAGTGAGCATTTTTTTTATTAAAAATAAAAAATCTTGAATTTAAGTTGCATAGGTAAAATTGTATAAAAAATAGAAAAAGAGAGATGATTACCTTTAATTATATAATCAAAATCTAAAGATTCAATGATAAATTTAGTCTCTTAACTTTACAAAATGCACATTTTTGGTCCTTCAATAATTTTTTACATTTTTTTGATCCCTCGACTCTAAAAATTGCACAGTTTTAGTCCCTCCGTCAGTTAAGTATGATGTGATAGTTAAATAATTTCGTGTGGCATTATCTTTTAATTTTTTTGATGATGTGTCAATAATATATATTATAATTATGTTATATAAATAAATAAAAATACCACATAGATTAATATTTATATTTTAATTAAAAACAAATAAAATTACCTTATTACCCCCACCCTCCCAATCCCTCTTCTTCCCCTTCTTTCTTTCTCTTTCTTTCTTTCTTACCCTAGGTTTACACCAGGCTAGATTCCGATGGCTAGGTCCCGATGAACCCAGCCCCGATGAACCCTGCTGGGTCTCGTCGAACCCAGCCTTGCTGGGTTCGTCGAGACCTAGACCGGTTGGGTTCCGATGAACCCAGTCTTATTGGTTGCGCAAACCAACCTTGTTGTTTCAATGCTAGGTTCATGTTTTTTCATTCTTCTTTCGATTTTCATTCCCAGTTGTTAATAAATTTGGGAGTTGATTTACAATTTGATTACATTTTTGTTGGAATTTGATTAGAGTTTGATTGTATTTTTGTTGGAATTTGATTAGAGATTGATTGATATTGTTTATTGAAAGGTTAATTTGATTTGATAAGATTTGCTAGGTTTGAGGCTTCAATGAAACCCAGTAGCTGGGTTCAATGACAGAAAATTCCAAATTTCTCAAGTTCTCCTAAGAAAAGAGAAGAAGAAATGAGTTAAGATCGGTTTTGTAAATGGAGTGGAGATGAGAGAGCATTCAAGGAAGAAGAAGAAATAGGTTAGGATCGATTCTACAGATGGAGTGGAGATGAGAGAGCATTCAGAGTATAAAAAGATATGAGTTAGATTGATTTTGTAGAGAGTGAAGATGAGAGAGGAAGATGACATGTCATAAAAAAAAAAGTCCAGATCAGTACCTTTTTAAGTTGTTGTTGCCATATCATCAAAAATAAAAAATAAAAAATGCCATGTGGTCGAGTTAACGGCCCAAATTAACAGAATGATTAATGAAGTGCATTTCGTATAGCTGAGGGATCAAAAAAGTGTAAAAAATTGTTGAGGAATCAAAAATGTGCAACTCACTAAAGTTGAGGGACCAAATTTAACATTTAACCAAATCCAAAATAAGGAAAGAAAAAACAAAAAAAAAAATCTTGTTCCGCTTAGCAGAGGCGCGCGCCAGGTTTGACCCCATCACTCCTCCCAGCTCAGCACTCAAGGTTCAACCCTCATTAAAAAAAAAAAATCTGAATCATATCCGCTCTGGCCCTCTCCCAACAACATGCCAAACGCCACGCCTCCCACTTCCCACAACTCACAGCTTGACAGCCAGGTGACTTTAACTCCCTTTCTCACTTTTTGCATGAATTTCCGTGGCCGTTTTTCAGCAAAATTTGGAATAATTGGAAAAAGGCCATGGGAGTAGGTGGAAAAATCATCCATCGAAAAAAGAATTGAAACCGACCAAAATTATGACAGGTAGGTCTAGTTTGATGAAATTTTAGATTTTTTTTATTAAAATATGAATTGATTTGATTTTAAATAATTTATTCTTTA